TATATATATATATATATATATATATATATATATATATATATATTAAAAAAATTAAAAATTTAAAAATATATATTGTGACCTTATTGTGAGACCAATGACATTTAAGCAAAATATTGTATAGTATATATATTTCCCATTGCTTATGTTAACAAATGAGACCTTATTGTAAAATGTTGCCATTATATACAAAACAATGAAATTATAAGTGTTCTGTATTCGAAAAGGAGACTCTAGTCTATGTCTGCAAAAAGTTTGAGGTTGGTCATATTTTTAAAATGTAGAGCTACATTTATTTCATATAAAAATGCTCTGAAAAAAAGATATTGTAAAAAAAAGTACCATTTAAAAATAACATTTGAACTTTTAATTACACTTAAATTGAAATTTTAGCATTATCCAATCCTTCAGAAATCGTTACGCATGTTTGTTATTATTATTATTAACAGTACTTTTAGGAAAATTTCAAGTTCAGAAGTGCAAAAGTAAATGATTTATTTGAAATATTATTATAATTATTATAATATTGTACTAATAATTGTATTGTTTCCCTGCTTCTTTGTATCTGCTTTTTATGTTGCCATCTAGGCCAAGTCGTCATTGTAATTGAGCACTGGTTTTCAATGGACTTAATAAAGGTTATTATTATAAATATTATAACATTATAAACAGTTAAAGGTCTTTTTTAATCAATTTATTGTATCCATGCTGTATAAAAGTATTAACTACAATACAAAAAAAATGCCTCTTACAGTAGTTTGATTCAGATGAAAATTCAGAATGTTGATATTTAATTAAATTTGTGCTGCAAAAAACAAATAATCCGATAAACCTACCAAAGTTTGTTACAACCTAAGGAACTATATACACTCAAAAAACATATATTGTTGCTCGTTCTACTTATTTAAAATGAGCTGAAACAACCCAATTGTTGAGATCTAATTGGGACAACTTAATTTTTCATGTTCAGTCCACATAAATTTGTTAAAAGTGTTAGGTTAACTTAATCGATTTGTAATGGAACAACATGAATGAATTGTGTGGAACCCTGTATTTCTTTACAGTGTAGAATCTCATTAAATAAAAAGGGTGTCCTTAACTTAAAAAAACAGGATCATTTTCAGCTTTAAGAACTTATAAACTTACTTCAGGACATTTAAGTGTCAAAACAAAGCTTTTGCCCCGGTCTGATCTCATGGGTCAAACTAATTAGATCTCCGCATCTCAACCAGTTGATTTGTGACACGACGCCTCCATGAAATGACCCCTCGCATTCTGATTTCAGCTTGCATTTGGGAGCGGGTAAAAAGCGGGCGGCCGCAGAAGGGGCTCGCGGGGCGCCAGTCAACAAGCGGAAATCACTCCTGATGAAGCCTCGCCACTACAGTCCCAGTCCCTGCCCCAGCGAGGGGGACGGCGAGGACCTGGCAACCGCACAGGACAAAGACGCACCCAGGAACACTGACACTCCAGCAGGTAGACAGATGTCCTGTTGTTTTGTCTGTTTTGATGAACAATTGACGCTGAATTTTAAACTACCATCTGTTGCATTCATATATTTGTTTCCCTCCTCCTCCTCCTCCTCCTCTTTCTTCTCCTCCCTCATATATTCGTTCATCACTGGAAGTTGATCCGTCAGGCCGTGTTTTGTATGTTTTTCTGTCTCGTCCCCCCCTCCTGCATCCGGTGTCCAGATTAAGGCGATTTTCCTCCGCTCAACTACTTTTGAAACCCGGATTAAAAAGTAGCTGCCGCCGGGTTGATTATGCAGCCTGGAAAAAAAAAAAGAAAAAAAAAAGTGCTTTTTTTATAAGCAAGTGCGCTTGCTTGCATAATTATGCAAATAGGGTAACTGAGAATAGAATGCACCAAATTATATTGTGCCTCGTTGACAAAAGAGAGTGATCATACACTCCAACAACAAAACATTTTTGGCAAGGAAGCCACGCAAAATGTTAAAGTCGATATTACGTTTTTAAGCCGTCTCCTTTCTAGAAACAAAATGCTGCCATTTCCTAATGAATCAAATTATGAGCGCGCTGGCAACAATACCCATGCTTTACATGTGTACCTCCACACCCCTATAATCTGCACTTATTTGGTATATTTTTAACGATGTAACCAAGCAACAAACGTAATTGTCCCTTTCGAAAGCTTTTGTTAGACCATCGAACGCAGCCCAAATATACATAATTAGGCATAATGTGTGCGCCTCATTATTGGACACATGTGGGTTGTTAAATGGACAACAAAATAGCTCAATAAATTGAACAGCATCATTGGAAATGGAATTTATTTGTTTCTCTGATTTCATATTACCCACAATAATCATAACCTTTTTTTTCTCTCTCTCTCTCTCTCTCTTTCTCTCTCTCTTTTTCATCGCCCCCCCAAACACACACACACACACACACACACTTCATTTAGTATTATTTTCTGAAGTTGCGGAATGATTAGGAAAATCTCATTTGTCATATTTCCCTGCTGTCTTGCAACATGTTGGCTTTGCGTTTTGCCAAAGTGCACTATTGAAGAAGTGGAGGGGGGGGGGGGGGGGGGGTGGAACAAGGAATTAAAAAAGCATAATGCACGGGGTGTGTGACTGGGAGTGGATGGCGACTGGGACTGCAGAGAATTTAATGGATCTGTAGGGGGACCAGAGGGGTATGTGAATTTCAAGAGAGAAAAAAAAGGGAAAAGCAAAGGCAGGGGACGAATTAAAGGGGTGTAAGGCTTCCATTTGGTGCTGTTGTGTGTGTGTGTGTGACTCCAGCCAAGCTTCTGGTCTCCATACACACAATGGTAATGGTTATTCTGGAGTATAAACCATTCACCTGTTCCAAAACACAAACCACTCTCTGCATCCAAGCATTTTTCGCCCTTGTTCGCTCCAGTCTCTGTTTTTTTTTCGCTGTTCTGTATTTTTTTTTTGTTTTTTTTTTTGGTCAGGGCTGTATCTCCATCTGGATGGCAGAGAACTCCTAATCATCTGCTCTGTTAATTGTGTCTTAGCATAACTGGCGAACTTTTCATCTGCGCTGGACCGCTTTGGGTTTTCACACCTCAAACTGCTGACAAAAGCGACAAAATCGGACGCGTTTTTAAGTGCGTTTGCGGTGGAATCCATGCTTTGCTTTGGATTAGGCGTCCAGATGCTTCATGTTAATGCTTGCTTTTGTGTTACAAGCGCTGATTCTTGAGATGCAGGACAAATGGGCTAAAGACATTAAAGCTGTTAAGGTTTTCAGGTTTTTTGATTCTTTCGTTTTCTCCCAAAAAAGAGATTTTTTTTCCTTCTTTATCACTCTGGATGGACCAACGATGCCAGATGTAAACAAAATGAGTATTAAAATATTAGATATTTTTAATAAACGAAGCATTCAGCTGTATGATTAAGAATCTATTGAGATTACAGGATGGCGTTAATCTGATTTTAAACTCTGTCTTTTTAGTTTTATTGACATCTCGCTACAATATGATTGTGTTGACAAAGTTATTGTGTTTGATCACGGATGCTTTGTGTTTCTTGAGCTGTTAAACTAGAAAAAATACACTTAAGATGAGGAATAACTTGCCTGATTTAATTTAGATATTCATATACACATTATGAAAGCTGAGATATAAAAGCTCTTAATATTAATTTATTATTTATATTTTTGTTGTAATAATTGAGTATATATATATATATATATATATATATATATACAGTTGAAGTCAGAATTATTAGCCCCTTTTTGATTTTTATTTTCTTTTTTAAATATTTCCCAAATGGTTTTAAACAGAGCAAGGACATTTTCACAGTATGTCTGATAATATTTTTTCCTCTGGAGAAAGTCTTATTTGTTTTATTTCGGCTCACTCAATTATTACAACAAAAATATAAATAATAAATAATATAATAAATAATAATTTATATTAGATAATTATTAAAATTAATTATATTAATTATTAGAATTGATATGTATAATTTAAAAAATATTTCTCAAGTGCTGTTTAACATACAGATTATTTTTCAACACATATTTTGAACATAATAATTAAATTAAACATTAATTACATTAAACAAAATTTTAGTAAATAATTTTGTCATTTTGCAAGATACTAGTATTCAGCTTGAAGTGTCATTTAACTAGGATAACTAGATTAGTGTTAGGTTAATTAGGAAAGTTACTGGACAACAGTGATTTTTTTTTCTGTTTGTTCTCTGTTATTAAGAGGCTAATAATATTAATATTGTTCCAGGCAAATTAAGACAAAACATTATATATATATTTTTTTCTTACTCTGTTAAAGCATTTCTTGTGAAATATTACAAAAATAAAGGATAACAATTTTACTAATACCATTGCCTTCAACTGTATATTAAAAAGTATAAAGAAAACATATACATGTATATTAATTAGAATGTATGGCACAATTTCATCTCGAAAGAATATGTATAATAATAATTATTAGAATTAATGTCAATTATTTTTCAATAATATTTCCCTCGTGCTGTTTAACGTAGAGAATATTTTATCACATTTTTGAACATCCTAATTGAATTAAACATTAATTAAATAAAACATCATTTTAATAACTAAATTTGTCATTTTGTAAGATACTGGTATTCAGCTTAAAGAGTCATTTAAAGGCTTAATAGGGTTGATTAGATCAAAATCTCAAAAATATATATAATAATTATTATTAGAATTATTGTTAATTCTTTTTTTAAATATCTTCCAAGTGCTGTTTAACGTAGAGAATATTTTGCAACACATATTTTAACCCAATAACTAAATTAAACATTAATTAAATAAAACATAATTTTTGCAAAATGCTTTAGATTAAAGTGTTATTTAAAGGCTTAAATTGGTTAATTAGATTATATATATATATATATATATATATATATATATATATATATATATATATATATATGTGTGTGTGTGTGTGTGTGTGTGTGTGTGTGTGTGTGTGTGTGTGTGTGTGTGTGTGTGTGTGTGTGTGTGTGTGTGTGTGTGTGTGTGTGTGTGTGTGTGTACGTGTTTTTTTGACATATCAAGACACAAATCTGTATAATGACATGGGTATGACACAGGTATTACAAAAAGGAGGTGAAATGTGAGAACATTGGTGACGTACTCATTTCTTAAAATGCTTATAAATCACACAGGATGAGTTTAATCAGAGAGTAAAGCTGGACAATGACTCCTGTGATTGTTGGGTTTAGGGGTGGGGTGGGTGAGGCACATTATATACGGTTAGGACAGTATAAAATGAATGGAAACCTATGTACCCACTTTTCACAAAAACAAACGTGTGTGTGTGTGTGTGTGTGTGTGTGTGTGTGTGTGTGTGTGTGTGTGTGTGTTTATGTGTTTTTATTCCAGCCAAATTAGAACTTTTTTTAAGGAAAAACATTATATGAACTACTGTGAAAACTTTTTTGTTATTAGAAAATATTAGAAAAAAATATCACTGCCAGATCATATATAATTATTGTTATTAGAATTAATATTAATTATGTTAAAAATATTTCGCTATGTGCTGTTTAACATAGATATTTTTAACACTTTTTTGAACATCCTAATTGAATTAAACAATAATTAAATTAAACATGATTTTAATAATTAATTTTGTCATTTTGCAAGAGTCATTTAAAGGCTTATTATGTAAATTAGATTAAAGTCAGGTTATTTAGGTTTGTTCTGTTTGTTAGATTAAAGTTAAGTTGTCATTGGTTTGTTCTGTTTGTTCTGCATTATAGGGGCTAATAATATTAACCTTAAAATTGTAAAAATAAATAAATAAACAAATTATTAAATATTTTATTTCAGCTAAATTAAAGAAACAACATTTTTAAGAAGAAAAAAAATTCCTTGCATTACTTGGGGAAATAAAATAATCAAAATGCCCTAATAATGTTGCCTTCAACTGTATATTAAAGAGTATAAAGGAAAGCATATATATGTTTATTGATCAGAATTTACGGCACACGTTTCATCTCAAGAATCAGCGCAGTAACATTCGATGCACGTATACTGATGCAAGTCCAAAAATAAAAACGGACGAGATTAACCGGGCCCTTTTCTTCGAGCTGCATGCATTAAAACTATAATTATCCGCACAAACAGAATCAAAATTTAGGTTGTACGCTAGCATTATGTCTTTGCATTTGTACAGCGCCAGCGTAGACCTCTGCGACATTATGCTGGAGTTTTGGCATGGTTTTGAGCGAATCGGCAAGCACACTCTAACCCCTCAAAGCCTGGTTTCCATTTTTGGCAAGAGACGGGTGAGATTGTAAATGCCACTGAGCTCTCTATCCCCCATTTAGGGATGTTTTTTTGGGGGGGGGATTAAAAGCAGGACTACTTTATATGCTCTTTAAGACTAGCAACTGTTTGTTAAGGCAGTATGATCCCATTAGAAGCCCCCGAAACCGCATGTGGTGCAGCCAAAATGCTCTAATATCTAATCAACTCAGTGGTTGCATATGGTTGGGAGGGTGGCATAAGGCTCTCTAAGAGGATAGATGTATCTCGTGTTTACGCTGTGTTTTGAACTTTAAACCCTGCTGCCCAAAGAGCTTTAACCCCGGCTGCTAAGTTTCAGTAGAGGATTGTACAGTAAAATCAATCCAGCTGATAGTTTCCTTTTGTTAATCATTGACTCGGTTACTTAATATAATCGGGGCTGTTGCCATTCCAGAGTCGTTTAAAGGTGATTTTAAGGGATAAAAGGTCTGAGATTTGTCAAAAAAAGAGAAGGAATTATTCAGTTTATAAAGCCAAGCCAAATAAGCTTTAAGGATTTATCAAAAGGAGTTACTGCAGTGTATCAAATCAAGCTTCTGTATGATTAGCGGTTATATAAATATATGTATATATCATGTAGTCTCATATTTGTTGTGGACACAATCTGAGCTCGAGTTGTGTAACTTGAACAGATGGAAGATTAAATTAAGAAGGCATGCGTCTATTTATGTCTACAATATAAGATTGCACTTTTAAAGGTCGAGTTATGTATATGGTAATGATCTTAAGTTTGGATGGAAACTATACATGGTGTTTTAGAAGTAGTCAGAGTTTACTAAAATAAGTTTGTTTTTTCACTTGGGTGACTGTCTGTATGTCTGTTTTCTTGATCATTTCCTAATATGTCCATTTTATATTCATTTATTAATGGTATCTATCTATCTATCTATCTATCTATCTATCTATCTATCTATCTATCTATCTATCTATCTATCTATCTATCTGTCTGTCTGTCTGTCTGTCTGTCTGTCTGTCTGTCTGTCTGTCTGTCTGTCTGTCTGTCTGTCTGTCTGTCTGTCTGTCTGTCTGTCTGTCTGTCTGTCTGTCCGTCCGTCCGTCCGTCCGTCCGTCCGTCCGTCCGTCCGTCCCTCCATCTAATGTTATGTCTATCATTCTATTTGTCTATCATTTGTTCGTTCTGTATATCTATCATCCTGCTTATCGTTCTACCATTCTACATTGTATATTCTACTATTGTTCTTGC